AGAAGCACCAAATTGCTCTGCCCAGAGAAGCACACTTTGTGAAAACCAATGGAAAGGAGCCTGAGCTACTGGAATCTATTCCCTATGAATTCATAGCATGATGGGTGTTAAAAATAAACAAATTTATGATGTCTATAAAATAAAAATACCATGAGTGACTATACACCAATGAACAAGAAAACCTGGATGAAATGAACAAAGCGTAAGTAAATAAATAAATAAAAATAATGGACAAATTTCTGGACACATACAATTTACCAAGACTGAATCAAGAAGACATGGAAAGCCTAATGAGACCAATAAGAAACAATGGGATAGAATCAGTAATAAATAGTCTCCCAACAAACAATAGCCCAGTTCTCGATGACTTCACTTCTGAATTCTACAGAACTTTTAAAGAGCTAACTCAGTGTACTATTTCTAAAGACCCAAAAGGAATAAACTCTCCCAAACGCATTCTATAAAGCTCCCATTACCCTCATTCCTGAATAGACAAGTACATAACAACAACAAAAAAACTACAGACCAATATGCCTGTTGAATATAGACACAAAAATTCTCAACAAGTTACTAGCAAACTGTATCCAATGACAAATTTAAAAATTATGCATTATGTCCAGGTAGGCTTTATTCCATGGAAGCAAAGGTGGTTTAACATATGTAAAACAAAAAAATGTAATACATTGTATTAACAGAAAAAAAGATAAAAATTATATGATCATGTCAACTGATACACAAAAAGCATCTGATAAAATACAACATCCCTTCATGATTAAGACTAACCAAAATCAGAACAGAAGAAATTCTTCTCAATACAATAAAAGCAGTATGTGAAAAACCCTTATAAGAGTTTCCATACTGAGTGGGCAGTAAATGAAAGTTTTTCCACTAAATACTGGAACAAGGCAAGGCTGCCAACTTTCTCCTTTCTTCTTCAGTATAGTGCTGCAAGTCCTAGCCAATGCAGTCATACAAGAGAATAAAGTAAAAGCAATTAAAACAGGATAAAAAGTAAAATTATCTCTTTTTATAGATGGCATGATATATACATAGAAATCCAAAGGAATTCACAAAAATAATTCTGAAAGTAATAAATACAGTAAAGTGGCAGGATAGAAAATCAACATACAACATTCTATAGCATTTTTATGTACTAATTGTGAACAGACTGAGGTATTATAGAACTGAAAAAAACAAGCCCATTTATGATAGCCACAAAAAGCATAAGATACCTAGAAATAAAACTATGAAAAGACTTTTACAAGAAAAATTATTGAAAAACTAAAAGGTAAATTGAAAATGATACAAAATCTGGAACGACATCCCATGATGGGGATGGATTAGAAGGATTAATATAATCAAAAAATATCTTCTACCAAAATTAATCTATATATTTAATGCAGTCTTAATCAAATTACCAGAGATGTTCTTCACAGAATTAGAAAAAAAA